CCAGCGCGCGGTGTCAGTCATGTTTCCTTACTCCGAACGGGCCCTCCCGGAGCGGGAGCGGGAGCGGGAGCGGGAGCGGGAGCTCCTTCCGGAGGCGCTGGAGTTATGCAATGGCCCTGCCCTACCTTGTCAACCAGCAAATTTAACACAAAACCAGTAAACAAAGGGCTTTTGTGTGTGTTTTATAGTTCAGTGAGGATTAGTGGCCCGACACCGCTTTCAGACGGGACAAGCTTAGCGTTAACTTGCCCGAGGTTAACGAGGGAGGACGCGGGGCAGCCTGCAGAGGCTGAAGCGGAAAGGTTTCGGACACGGGGCAGAGAATCATTAAAAGTGGGTTCCGCTTACCTGGGTCGGCGCGCCGGTCACGTGTTCCCTAACGTTTCAGCTGCTTTAGGGTGCAGCGTGTGCGGAGCCCCGGCGCTTGCTTGCCGTCCTTCCCGCAGCTTCAGAGGTCCCCTCCGCTGTGGCGGACATCCTAGCCCGTACGTGGGCTCTGGCTGAATCAGGTTCCCGCTCTTCTTTGCCTCTCACCTTTCAGAGTCCTCTGACTGTAAAATCCATCCCTTTCCTGAAATGCAGAACGATGCACTTGTCCGGCGAAGATTTTCCAGGCGGGATTCAAATTCCAGACCAGCCTTTCATTTCCTTCGTGCTGGGGGCAGAGCGAAGGCAGGGGGGCGAAGGAAAGCGCTCGCTTCCTTTAAATCCCCACCGGCGTCTTCCCCGCGCTGGGAGCGAAGGAGCTTGTCATGGTGATCTCCGGAGCTTAACTTTGGGGGGGAGGGAGAAAGTGGAAAGCAAACTGAATGCTGTAGTGGAGATTTCTCTCTTCCCCCACTGGGCCCCTTGCCGACTGTTTTTATTGATTTCAATCACTGGAGGCTAGCTGGCTCTCAGAAGAAACACTGTGTAATGTGTTCTTTCCTGGCTTTCATTAAAGAAACTCAATGCAGCGCGGTCACGCTGCCGAGCTCGCCTGGCAACCTGCCTACACCCTGTGGTACCTCTTTCATTGGAGGAGATCGAGCTCGTGGTTGAGGGTTGTTTTTTGGGTTTTGTTTTTTTTTCATTCTCCAGCAAGGATTTCAAAACAGCCTATGCTCCGCTTCTACCTCCTCTTGCAGCCCAAAGCCCTTTTAAACTTGGGAAGAAATTGTCAGCACCCCCAAAGGGGACGCCTTTGGCGGCGATGAAAGCGCTGAGTGCTGCGACAGTCTTGTGCTCCTTCTGTTAAAATTCCTCTCTGTGTTTTTGGGGAGGGGTTAAAAGGGCTGTGTGTAAACCACAGGGATGTGGAGCCAAATGATTTCCGAGGGTTTTCCTTCTTTTTTTTTTTTTAATTCCATCTTCTCCTGACTGGTTAACGTGGTTTAATTAAGGGTAAGAGAGTAAGCAACATCCTTCGACAAATATGTGAGAATTCCTGGCAGTGCTGTAGTTGCAAATGAAGCAAAACTGCATTCCCCAAGCCTGCAGTCGCGGTGGTGTCTTAAATATTTCTGTTGTATTCAGGACTGTGATACTGGTGGAGACAAATGAGAAATAAAATACGGTATTAATTTATGCCTTAGAACTTAATCTGCTACAGTACGTATTTTATAGGAGCAAACAATCTATAAAGTGGAATTCAACAAGCTAGGTTGTGTAAATTGTATTGTGCTGTGTGCCTGTAAATTGTATTGTGCTGTGTGCCTACAAATGCTTTCATTTAATTTAGTAAATTGTTCAATTTCTTCTTATTCAGCAGTTCCTAATGATAACACTTTATGTGCTCTTCAGAATTGGATGTAAATCTATGAAACATGTAAAGATCACATAGTTGTAAATTAAGCCTGGTTTCAAGCTAATAAAGGTGCATCTATTCTAAATTACAGCTGCAAATTTAGGGTGCTACCTGGTCACTTGTGCTTGTGAGATACTATAGCTGTGTACATAAGGACACTTTTTAAAAAAAAAAAATTTACATGACCACTAAAAGAATCCTTTCCTGGATCAGAAAGATAAAAAGCTTGTTCTTACGTAAATATGGCTTCCTGCAGAACTTGTTTGAGGCTTTGCTGCCTGGGTTACATCTACAGAAACCTTTCCAAATTAAATTAATGTAAGTTACTCCCAGTGTTTTTGTTGTGAAGAGTTGAGATTCTAAAACCACCTAGCTTTTATGAAAACTTTTAATTTTTTCTTTGAGCAATGTACAATTTTAAAAAAATCTTCCTCTAAGTGCTACAGACATGGTGTAAGGAGGTATACTTCTAAAAATGTTACTTTTCATTCAAAATTTGCTTTCTGCATGGTAAGGAAATTTCATATGCCCTCTCTGGTCATACTACTTCTTTTCATAAGGTGCTAAATGATAGAAAAGAGTTACTTGAATTCAATATGGCTGTGAACTATTTTATCCAAATTCTGTAGCTGTAGTTGTAGCACAGTTCTTTGGCAAGCCTCAGATAGTAAATCATTTGTCAATCTTTCTTTTATGAACCTTGCATCTAAGGATTTGCTGGTCTTTCTTCTTTGTAGGTTTTGAACTGTGTTTATAGATACTGCTTTTTGTTTTTAAGCTGGCAGATGGCCAGTTATTTATCTGGGTGCATATGTATTGTGCAAGACAGAACATTTTGCATGCTGATATCATGCACAGAGCGTTTTTGGGGCAAAAGGCTACTTCTAAGCAGAAGCCATTATGTGACAGGTTGGTAGCTCCTCGTCAGTTCTTGGTCAGTGAACAAAGCCCCTTTTGACATTTCTCAATATTAAAAGTTATGAAATAACATGAGCTTAATGAACAAACAAGGCGGTACAATGCTCCTACTATGAAACAAGCCGTTATCATCCGTTTCCCCATTTTTCTCTTTGGAGTTCAAAAATTTGGCACCCTCTTTATACGTTTGTCACTGTTAATCAAGTTATCATTTATTCCTCTGAATTTCTGATGTTGCTGGCTTTGCCATTGTACAGACTTGTGTTGCTGTGCTGGTAGAAAAGGATAACAGTCTATCGGCTTTTGGAGGAGCCGGATTCACTGGTACTAATAAATAGCAAATTTGGCGTTCTGGCTTGGACTGCGGTTACTGCAAAGTTCAAACCTTCACAGGCAAATCCCAAAGGCAAATTTGTAATAAATGTGTATTCGGTTCATTGTGGCAATTCTTCAGAGTTTCTGACTCTGTCCGCCTTATTCTATGCTGGCAACAGACAGCGGGGGATGCAAATGTGGGAGACTCTGAAACAGTGACGAGCAAGGAGGAGGAACAGAAGTCTTTAGAAGATGTCTTCAATTCTACTCAAGTCTGAGGCACTCAAGGACCTCTGGGTAACTACAAATCTGGAAACAAATTAAAAATGTACTTGCTGCTTTGCTGAAGCGCAATACAATTAGTGTACTGCTAATACCATCTTGGTACTGGTTGCCTGGCTATTACGGTTCACAGTCCCCTGGCAGTATAAGCTTTTATGCAGATGCAGTTTCTGAAAAAATACACTTCTTCGGTTTTGCCACTCTTGCTGCAGAAAAAAGAGTTCGATATCGTCAAGAAATCCCGTCTTGGGTACATCTTTCTGCCTTTTCCAGTTTCTCTTGCAGTTATAGTTCTTTTTTTCTGTTCTGAATTGCTTAGCAGGACTGCTTTACACTATTAAATGCTTCCGTTTGAGATGGTTCCCCTTTTATGATGGGCAAACTAATTTCTAAAGAAGACTCATAAAATGTCTTAAATTTGTGCAATACTTCCAGATTACAAAGAATAATGGAAAACTTTACCTGGTATCTAAAACTGCCACAGCTGAAGCCTCCGGGTATTTTGAGTCAGATGTCTTAGACTATTTACAGTGTATTACTATGTTTGCTTGCACGCAATTCAGAAGTTTAGAGACTGGCATTGATGAAAGGTGCTGTATCGGCAGTCACAGCCCTTTGCATGCAGATGGACAAGGTACAGCAGGAACTTCGGGAATTTGCTTGAAGATGTCTGAGCTCGCATCTTCACACCCATGCAAAGATGACGTGGCTTTTTATGAGCGTAAGTGTTAAAGATTTGGGGGTCTGTCTTTTACTCAAAATATGGCATCCAGTGGCAATATCCCTTTTAGCACCTTTTCGGGCCTTCTGGAGAGTTTCCAAGTGGAAGACTCCCACCTCCTTAATCAGGAGAAAACACTGGCTGTCCTCTGAATGTCATTCATTCAAGTGTACTGACCTAGCCTGACCTTGTTTAGATTGAGATCTAATGAGCCCACGATCCAAGGTGGTGTGGTAGCTCTCAGCAGGCTTTGCAAATAAGCAAGTGTTGTGTTTTTTTGTATGCATATGGTTTAAATTTATCACATCAATAAACAAGTGTCTCACACGCTCAAATATGGACTTTACAATGTTGTAGTTAAGACTAAATTGTAGTCCTACAAATTGTGATGTCACTGTATAAATATAGAAGGAGACAACATGGAATATTTATGACCTCAAAACAATGAAGTCCTGTTGGTTGGGGTTTTTTTAATTTAAATAATGACATAGTATTAAAACTCTTAATCAGAATGGCTCGCAAACTTTGGACACGTCTTTCAGAAAAACAGTCACGCTAACGGTGCAGAGAAAGCAAAATTAAAAAATAAGGCTGTTGATTTAAAGAAAGGAGAGATGCATTTGTAGAGGAGCATAACAGACATCATCCAAGTTAACATAAATACAGCTAGGCTTTAAATTGTAGTGCAAGGCTTGGTTTTGTTTCCTTTTGAGTCCCAGGTTTTGGGGAAGGTTGCTTTTGCTTGTGTTGTTTTTTTTTAAATTGTGATAAAACTACCCTCAGCTTCAGTAGAGAATATACCACCAAATGTAGGTATTTTTTGAGGCAAATAAAACTTGAGGCTTTCAAATTAAAAACTGGTCAAGGACAGGTTGTGGTACGTACTAGTAAATTAACTCAAGTTGACGTGAATGGATAAAAGTATAGTTGCAACTAGAAAAGTTGTTTGAGCTGTAAAGTGGTGAATGCTTTCGCGGTATGTGCGATGGGAGTCCCAAACAGAAGCCTGATGAATCCGATTTTCCTTGGATGATGCTGTGGGCTAGCAGAAGGTACGTCCAGCTGTAAATCCTGACTCTCTGACGCCCGGGACAGCACCAGCCCCACAGGGAGAACAATGCTCTTGCTTCAGACGGCCCACGGTGCATCAATTGCGATGCTGGAAACAAATGTTGTTAGGGCTCGGTATTTACTACGTTGGGACCTACAGGGAGGGAGCAACTTGTTTTGTTTTTCATGGAGTGGTCGGGGAGAGGGATAAAAAGCTTTTTGATAATGCAAGGAATGTGGGGGGAAGGGAAGGTACAGAGATGTGCATTTACTGTAAGTATGAAGGAGCAGAGGCCTCCTTATCAGACCGGCTCTAATGATGTGCCACAGTCACTTTATTTGAAAGCTTCAGGGCTCACAGAAAAGTAAACAAATTCATTACATTATTTTTAAAAGAAGATTAACTGTAGTGTGTCGTCTGTTGGACAGCTGCTGTAGTACTCTTTTACAAACACTTTATAAATGACCACCCTCAGTGTTTTCCTGGGCTTTGTGTGGCTGGATTGTTATTTTAGTAAGTACCAGGGTGGCTTTTCAAATGAAAACGTTGTTTCCTGTATAACAATTACATACCTAACTTCACCCTAAATATTATTTTATTCTCAGCGTGAGTTATAAAATGTTGTCTATACAAATGCAACATACGTTGCTTTTTTGCATATATTTGCTTGTGAATGCTGGCTTTGCCATAAAAATAGCTAAAAAGTATTTTAAACAAAAAAAGAAAATCCTCATTACTGTCTCGCTCCCATTTATTCCAATTTCTGCTTTCTTGCCCTTTTTTGGTCTTTGAAAACAGAAAGTTGAAAAGATGAGTCAGAGTAAACTTAGATGATACATGAATTGACGCTGAACAAATGTTTAGTCCTCAGCGGGTGTCTTTGGCAAATAAGATTATGTTCAGGTGTTGTCTTGTTTAACCATCC